AACCTACGAAAGGGTTTGGTTAATCCAATATGGTCGTACCACTACTTGAGGTCTAGATTAATGACAAATTGAACCTTGTAGAAATCCCAGATTTCGTCACTGACTGAAAGACAAAGGTGTTGAGAAATAAAGAAATCAGTTTAGTAAAAGTCTAGTGACGATTTCATAAAAGGGTAGGAGGCTACTTGGGAATTGGAGTCTGAAATGAGAAGTAAATATTCCAGTTGTTCAATTGATTGAATTCTGGGACGGTATTCTTTTTGAGGGAAGGATAATGTGATAACCGAGTTTATCGGTTATAAGTTTGGGATTGTTTTTGAATAAAGACAGAAAGTTGAGAAGTTATTTTGATAATATGCTTAAATATATGTACTCATCCACCGCCTCATATTTTAAAGGCATATTATTAGAGATTTTTCCATCATCTCTTTGGGGTGTGGTAAAAAGAAAGAAAGAAAAACGAAAGGGTCTTCTGTGTGTTCTTTGAGTTCGAGAAAACAGAAAGCGAAAGAGAAGAAAGAGGAAGTTGAATTATGTGATTCTTGATTGAATAATTTGATGATGTTTATCTTCATTCCTTTGTGAATTAAAGGTGAGTTTTATCTTAAAATTTTCATTTAATTGATGTTGAGACCGAACCGTATGGTTCAATACGTGAGATGAGTTAAAACTGTTTATATGCTTTTTTGGCATAATTTTTTGTATCATGATATGTTATTATCAAATGTTTGGAATAAGGGTGACATAATCAGAAGATGCGTATTTTGGGATAAGGGTGACATAACCAGGAGATGTGTATTATGGGATAAGGGTGACATAATCAGGAGACACGTATTTTGAGATAAGAGTGACATAACCAGAAGATGTGTATTATGGGATAAGGGTGACATAATCAACTGTATGTGAAAAACGCGGATTTTTGATCATGTGAAGAACAATTATCACATCTTTATGATGCGATGACTTTGGTTTATCGCATGTTTGTAATGCGATGAAATGATTTTATCGCATCCTTGTGATGCGGGATGGATGTTGGTGGCATCCTTGAGATGCGACAAGTTGGGTTATCGCACTCTATTGATGCGACACGAGGTACTTATCGCATGTGTAGATGCGATGAGATGAGTTATCGCATCTGTGTGATGCAAGGATATGAGTTGTCTCATCCTTGTGATGCAATAAAATTATGGTTTTATCTATATGATGAGACAAGTTTATGTATGATGTGATAAATTAGTTATTTTGTGGTTTGATGCGATAAATGGGTATTGTCTCATCTTTTTGATGCAACAAAAGAGATTTGTTTTGATAAAACACTGTTTATTTGTAAATTATACAAATATGAGCTTCATAAAAGTGTTTAGGTGATTTTCACCATGTAATAGCAATCAGAAAAGATTTATCACTAGACATCATGGTCTAACCCTCATTTTGTGTTTTAAAATGTACATTACAGGTCTGACACAATCAGAAGATAAGGGGAAGAGAAAATTATGAAGAAATTTATGATTGCTCATATATGTGGATTTGTTTTGAAGATGTGATGTTGTTCGTACTTGGCTAGTTGTTATATTTACAAGTCTTGTAGTGAGTATTTATGGAAAAAAAAAATTGGTAGCTACTTTTATTTTATGTATATTGAGACCAAATTTGTAAGTTTGTATTTTATAATATATGAAATATGTAGTTATATGCAAATGTGAATTGAGGTGTTACACAATCTAATTTATCAAATGACATCAAACTTTAGATGGCACTGAAAAAAATCATATAACACAAACCAAACAAGTATGAAACATACATGTTTCAATTAACAACATACGCAATAAATAATAACAAATTTATCTGAAATTAAGAATTTCGCTGACTATACAACCGAGAAGACTAGATGGTTCCAATATTATACCTTCAACAATTTTGTATACTTGAGTACCCCAATAATATCACTCTATATATTGAAACCAATAATAAAGTAAAACTTAGGTTGCTATTGCTTATCTTGTCATAACTCGAACTTTGATAACTCAATATATTATATATGTAACATTTCAGACTAACCGTATCAGATATTGTCTGTTTTATCCACACACCTGGACTCAGGGGGTGTTTGGGATTGTTTATTTCAAACAACTTATGCTTTTTTAGACTTCACGCGGGCCAGTTTTGCCATGCCCAAAATGTTGCCATTATCCGCAGCCGCTTGTCTTGCACGTTTGGCTTCGTGTCTCAACCATACTTGTTCATTATTTTTATATAGATTATAAATAAAATCTTTATCTCACTGTAAGAACAAGAATTATGCAAAAAAGTTGAATATTGAGTTCGTATGACGACTTTACCGTGTTGATTTTTTTTCTTAACCATCGACAGTCCTCCGGCTACGATTTCGACAACAAACAAATACCAACATTTAAGGCAAATACACCAACAACGATTAGCTTTAAATTCAAAGGACTGAAAAGATACTCACTCGATAATTAACAAATAACAATGAAACACGTCGCTTCGTATGTCGATTTCTCCTTTTTTTTCCTCCAAATATCGAACAAGGTTTCTGTAACGCCCCCAGAAACCAGAACCCCGTAGCAATGATATTGTTCGCTTTGACTAACCTGCCCGCTATACCACAAAGCAGTAGTCGCACGGTTTTGTTTCTGGCAGCCGCACAACGCAA